CATTCCACACTCGAACCCCCACGCAACACCCCAGCCCGCAGCGCCCGGCAGCCCCAACCTGCAGTGCGCCGCCCCGCCCTGCGCGCGACCCGCTCACACCACCACTCGCAGGGCCCAGCCCCCAGCACGGCTGAAACCATAACCCGAGCGTTTGCCGACCAACCCTCCTGCCGTCCTTGCCGCCGAGTCTGCAGCTCGGGCATCCCAACCGCCCCCTCCCCTTCCTTCCTTTCTGCCAAACCTGCTACTGCGGCATGTCCCAATCATCTTCCCCATCCTCGCCTCACCCCCAGAATCTGCTGCGCTGAACAACGCGCCTATCCCCCTCAAACACACACAGGTTGAGGAGCTGGCGGACTTCAACGCGGGCTATGACGCGGCCGCGGACGTCTTCACCGACATGGTCAAGTCCGGCATCATCGACCCCCTCAAGGTGGGTGCTCCCTGCAGCCCAGGGGAAGTGCTCGCTGCCGGCTCAGGATGTGGGTTTCAGGGTTGAGCTTTCTGGGGTGCCCCGAGCCGGCGGCGTCGCAGCATTGAAGTGGTTGGTGTGTTTCACAAAGCCCGGGTATTTTCAAGTCTGGCTTTGCATCTAATAGAAAGCTTTGCATTTCAGGGGGGCGCTGTGGGGTTGCATGAGGTCGGGCCGCTATCGATGGCGGCATACGCCTCCACATCTGGGTCATGTTGCGCATGTGCTGCTCGAATTTGAATCTCACTGCCTTTTATGATGGGAAGGTCGGCTCTACGGGCCTGATGGGCAGAGCGCGGGCCCCTGTGTTTGGTGCAGAGCCCAGCGCCCTGGCCATGCGCAGCGGGCGGAGTCCACAACCTTGGATGATTGGGACACGTCGCTGCCCTCCATCCCGCATCCGGCTTGGTTTGCTGCGCACCCGTGCAGCCCCCCCCCCACACACACACACTCTTTGTGCGCAAGCTGAATCTGGCCCCTCCCCTGCGTTTTTGATCCCGGACACTCCCCTGCCCGCAGGTGGTGCGCACGGCCCTGGTGGATGCGGCCAGCGTCAGCAGCCTCATCACAACCTCGGAATGCGTGATCGTGGAGGCGCCCGAGGAGAAGAAGCCGGCCATGCCGACGCCGGACATGGGCATGTACTGAAGATGACGTCATGCGGTTTGCGATGACGCCATGGGGCGGCCGTCGCCCGGGTGGCGGCGCGTGCTGAGGGCGCTGCGTGCGGCTGCCGTTGCTTCGCGCGCTCACGTTGCGTGATCTCTGTTGTCCCCGCGTCGTCACGTTTCTTTTTATCCAATCGGTGCAGTCCTCCTAGAGCGTGTTCTTTTTCGGCTCTCCTCAGAGGGTGTTGGAGTGTAATCTCTTTCACGTCATCGCGCGCGTCTGCTCGGATCTTGGTGCCGCAGTTTGTGGAAGCCCAGCAAACAGGGCTGCCAGGCATCAAGGGAGCAGCACCACAAGCCTGAATTTGCTTATCCCAACACAAAGCAGACGGAGGGCATGTACAGGTTAACCTTTGTTGTGAGCTGCGAAAGGCGACCCTGAGTGGAAGGGGCCTCCCGCAAGAAGCAAACCAACCAAGAAACCAACTAAGCAACCAACAAAACCAACCAACCAACCAACCAACAAGCTACGGCTGGCAAGGGCATGCTCGTCGCCTGCCGCCCTCGCAAGCGGCGATACGCACACCGTTCGGCGCCCCAGTGGACCCGCGGCAGTGCGGTGCGCTGCAGAGCTGTCACGCAAGATCTGGACAGCTGCTCCACAATTTATTCGAATCAGCGGCAGCTGGCAGTCTTTTTTGTGCTCCGTGGGAGACCATCTCAGAAGATGTGGCTCGCCCAGGGGAGTTTCATGGTGGGTCATCTGCCTGGGATTGCCGACCGCTGTGAAGGGGCGCAGCGATTGGTCATGTTGCCGGCAAACGGGCGTGCACGGACGCAAAGCAGAGTGTCACATTCACGTGATTGCCTCGTGTAGACAAGCTCATCAACCAGACGGCTGCTTGTGTAGAACGCAGCTCACATGCAATCAACGAAGCATCCCCCTGATGAAAAAAACTGCTTGCAAAATCTGCAGCGCTGTCTTGACAACATCAAGCTCATGAACAAAGTGGTGATTGTGAGTTCATCAGAAGCATTATGGGGGACTAAGCACCATGCATGGCCTGAAGGTTCATCAGCATACATGGATTGGTGGTGGCTACAGCCACCGTTTGAGGGGTGTGTCATCTGTGCAGCTCTCGGTTTCAGCGAGCGGGCGTGAGAGCGCCGCTGGGCTTACTAACGGGGCGCGCCACGGGGAGGCGGCTGCACGTCGCGCCCCACGCACCTGGTTTTGCCGGCCAGACACCTGCGCTGGATGACGATGTGGGTGGAAGCAGCAACACCCCCTCCCCAGCTCGCCCCCCCCCCTCCAAAAAACACAAAATACGGTACGCAAGTTCAGCCATAACCCCCGGCGCGTTTCGCAGCAGGATCTTCTGCGCCCCTGCCATCAGCTGAGTGCGCAGGGACCAAGCTCCTACCCACTTGCCACAAGCGGGTCGGACTGCGCATGGTGAAAGCACAGCCCGCCCCGGGTTGCGCGCAAGGGGCGCCGGCGCCCACCCCCTAACCAGGGAACCGCTCAGTGAAGACGCGGTATGAACCAGCGCCGAGCGCACCCGGACGCTGAGATTCACCGTGGACTGGTGAAGGGCATGCAGGCATGCATGGCAGGCAGCGGCAGGACAAGTAAGGAATGTACACAGGGAGCGAGAGCGGCCTCGAGAGGCAACGGTGGAGGGGCGGCGCTGTTGCCGTTGTCGTTGCCGGGGATGATGTTGGGCTTGTGCTACTTTGACATGAGGGGTCCTTGGACTCAGCCCTTGACTCTTGATCATGTGCGGGGACGGGGGGTGGGGGGATCGCGCGATTGGGTAGGCCCTTCGCAGTCTCGGGCAGCAGTAGGAAGAGAGCAGCAGCGGCAGCAGCGGCGCAGCACCGCATCGCGCATCGCCACACGCCACAGGCGCCACGGCCCTGTGACAGATCGCGAATCACCTTATCATGTTGATGGTGGAGTTGCGGGCCACGGGAGCGCCTTGCACGAGCAACCCAACGCGTTGTTGAGGCGTGATTGAAAGCGAGATCATCGATGATTGACCGCGATGACTTGTGGATTTTCAAGAAAAAGAATGTTTTGAAAATGTTCCAAATTATTGTGCTATCGATGTTTATAGAGTCTATCGCGTTGGCAGAAAGGAGCGAAGCTTCGCGCTGCTTTCCTCTGGCGGACACCGCTGACTCATCAGATGAGCAGCCAAAAGTGGGGCCCACATCGCGCATGCACGTGCTGCCCTCTGCTCGTGCAGCCGCATGTGCATTACTACCCAGTGCGTACAGACAGCAGTCGAAGCCACCCCTTGGCTGAAGCCTGCTTAGAAAGAAAGAGGCAGGCGGGTGACGCACTGGGGCGCACTCTAATCTGCGGCCAGTTTTGACAGAAGTCGCGCTCCAGGCTTGCCACAATGCAACGGATCTGCCACATTGATGCTGATGACACGGGCATGCGCACCAGCGCACAACGTGCAAGTCGGTCAGGACGGGCACCCATTCGCAAGGACCAGAGTTCTGGAGAGAAGGACTGACGGCTGTTTGCAGCTGGCTCTTGGGAGCTTGCAAAACTTCACATGCAATTGTGTTATCATCCCATATGCTTCTTGATCGACTTTAAGCTGGGCTTCGACGTATGTACAGCGGAATGATGAGTGCATGATCTTGGCGTCCTGCTTACCTCCTGGAGCACATCGTTCTTGACCTCGATCTGATCTGAGAGGAAGTGGCAACACATTGATACCGCAAACAGGTGCGGGGAGAGCTGGTACGGCCCGAGACAGGGTTGGCGCGAGCCAAGGGCGCACGAGAGAATGAGGGCTAGATGCAGACGTCGGCAGCAAGATTATAAGCGCGGCTATTTATGTCGTAACAGATGCGGGGAGCGCGCTGGCAGCCCCTGCCGCGCGCTTTGCCCCGCTGCACAGCCACGGCAGTTGACGCAACTCACAGCACGCGGTGCAGGAGACCAGCTGCCAGACCTGCGCCGTCGCAGAGCCTCCACACACCAGGATCGTACGTACATGGAAGGGGCACCTACGCAAGCGATCACGCGCCGTCTGCTCGCGACTTCTGCCCTTCGCCACTTGACGGACCAGGCTTGACTACGAGTGTCGGCGGGTATGGAGGCATGCTGTCGGCCCGGCTGGCGGCTCACCAAGATGCAGCAGGAGGACGTGGAGCGGTGGGTCGGCACGCGGCATGACCGCGCCGCAACCCCTGCGCCGGAGGACCCTGCATCACGTGCTGCATGCTCCAGCGGGTGGGGTGCCGACCAGCCAGCAGCCTTCCTTGTGTCAAGCCCTGCGCGCATGCTGCGCTTTGAATAACTCTTCAAACAACTGGGCTTACATATACCCCTGACCCGCTCATGCCTGCACCGCAAAACCGTTCACTGACAAATCATGCCCAATGCCACCACTTCAACGCCGGCCAGGGCTGCCGCCCGACCCACCACGCCGTCATGTGAAACGGCGTCAGAGGACCGTACGTCCACGGGCGCCACCGACGTGCGTCCCAAGAGGCCCTTCGCATCCACCCCGGCGTCGCGGACCACAGCCACCAAGACCCGGGAGGACACACCTCCCGGCAGCGCCTCCAGGTGTGCCGGCCCTGGGGTTTAGTGGGGGAAAGCGAGGAGCGGGTCCTCTGGCGTTGGTCACCCCCGTGGCACGAGCCCGTGAGCAGCCAGCAGCAATCCGCTGCCGCCAGGGAGAAGAACAAACCCAGCGCAGCCAAGGCTGCTGAACCCTGCTTACCCGGGGCTTGGATAGCCCATAACCGCTCCACTCCTCCCACAGGGCCCACACCCCCCAGGCAGGCAGGGGCGGCAGCGAGAGCGACGGCGACGGCGACGGCGACGGCGACGGCGACGGCGACGGCGACGGCGACGGCGATGGCGACGGCGACGGCGACGGCGACCAGAGCCTGCCGTTTCAGTGCGGCTGCGCCGCATACCCCCACCAGCAGCTGCAAGCCTTCCCCGCTTCCGGCGCCTCGCCCATCCTTGGCTCACCATCGGGCGGCGCCTGGTTGGGCGGCGCTGGCCTGGCCGCCTCCCCCGACTTTGGCTTTGGCGGCCAGAGCGCGCGCCGCAGCAGCGGGCTGTACGGCCCCGGGCCGTCGCCCCTGGGCCGGGCCCTGCCCTCCGCGGCCGCCCCTGCGATGGTGGCACCCCTGCCGCCCGCGCTGCCTGTGGCGCCGCCCCCAGCGCACCCTGATCACGCCAAGCTGACACCGCGCCTGCACGCGAGGGTGTGGTTCAAGCATGGACACCGGGCCTCCATGATTGTCCCTAACCTGCTGCCGCAGCTGGTCGACACTGCAGGCAAGCCCGACGGCCTCCTGCCGGACGCGGCCGCCGCCGCGCGCTGCTGCGAGGAGGCGCGCGAGTTCCTTGCCCACCGCGCCAGCCAGGGGTTTACGTGCCCCATGCTGGACTTCAAGGGCGAGGCCGCCTGGGAGTCGGCCATTCGGGCCGACGACTTCGTCACCTGCGTTGCTGGCCTCGCCTGCGACAGCAGCGGCGGCAGCGGCGGCTGCGACCTGATCGAGCGGTGGCCAGCGTTCAGCCGCGGGCACCGCCAGCAGCTCCTCGCCCTTGAGCCAGACCTGCTCATTGCGCGCCAGCGCGACATGCCCGACCACTTTGCCGAGCACGTCGTGCAGCTGGTGCCGGTCGAGGACGGCGGCGGCTTTAAGCCGTTGCTGTTCCTGTTCATGGCTACCGTTCACCGCAGCATAGCCATGTACGGCCGGGCCGCCGTGACGGTGCAGGCGTCGGCGGCAGCGGCGGTGCACGTGGTGGTGGCCGGCCTGGAGTGCAGCGGCTTGCCTGAACAAGAGGCGCAGACAGCGGACGCCGCGGTGCCGCTGGGCTGGACTGCCGTCCAGCTCGGCGGCTGCACCGTGCCCCTGCCGACCGTTGTCGCAGAGACACTGCTGCGGGCCCTGGCGCCAGGAGGCCACACGGCGAGCAAGATGTCGATGGAGACGGGGGGCACGCGTGCCTCCGACCAATCCTACGGCCTCACGCGGCTGCGCTTCGGACCGGCGCCGGCGGCGGGGCCGACGGCGGCGGCGGCGGCGGCGGCGGTTGGGGTGGCTGCGGCGGCGGTTGGGGTGGCTGCGGCGGTGGGGGCGGGGGCAGCGG